CTACTAGGCAGATGAAAAAATGATTCTGGCCTAAGCGCGGCGGCCATATTTGTTTGTTTGTTTGTTTGTGTTTTTTTGTTTTGCAACTTTGAAAACTCCCGGGTAAATTAGAACCCAGTCTGCGCGCGCCAAAGAAACTATATCCAGCCTCATTAAGAGTATTTCGCTTTCAGTGATATAGTGTCATTCATACAAGGCGGGTTTTTTTAAACTTGTCCTAGGACGACCAAAACATATCACTTCTTTAAAAATGACTAGAGGTGAAAAGAAGAGCGCGTCAAAGAGGCTTGAGAAATTATTCCGTGATCATCAAGTGTCCCCACCTTGAAGAAGAGATCATTTGAAAGAGGGGGCGATCACTTTTCAATTTAAAGAAAACATTGCTCTCACTCTTGGTGCTTGAATGAAAATTGTGAGGAAAGTTGCAATGCTGATCAAAATCCCGAGGACGAGCACAACACGATCCAATATTTTTGCAGCCATTTGCCAGTCAGTAATATTGTTTATTTCATCCGCAGATGACTTATCCGCCGCCTCGAACACATATTTCCCCTGTTGTTTTTCTGTCACGTGATCATTCAGAATAGGAGTCTCACGAACACTACTGCGTGTTCTAGTACGTATGAGGTGTACAGGCGACGAAGGCTTGATCTCAGCACAGCGACCATTTTCTTCACACGCACTGTCGTTTATGACATTCATTTTCCTTATCTCGATGGGCCCCGAATAAGAACCATCGGATTGCGGAGCTAAGTCAAAGTTTTCTTCCATCAAGTCCTTTTGGCTTTTCTTGCGAGTTTTGGTAGACGGTTGAGGTACATACTTGATTCTCACCAGAGGTCCCAGAATACTGAACATCAGCCGTTTGAGCCAACCAGGCATTTCGCAACGTTGGTAGAAAAAGTTCAAAATGACACAAGTTGCAAACAGAGCCAAACCAATCTCGAAAATAGCACTGGAGTAGTACTTTGCTGAAAAATAAGCCAAAAAAAAAATTATGTCATATAAGATGTTTTTGTTCAACGTGGTTATAATAATAAATACATTTTTCATCTTTTTTCGATGGAAGCCACTATCAATTGAAGATCGCAGTCGTATCGTTTTATTCAAATGATCCAATCAAGTATCAACTCGTTACCTAGCAACGGAATATATTCTGAATCCGCTGGCAGTTTAGCTGACGTCAGTTCCTGGAAGATAGCCATAGCCATTAGAACTGTAATACCAAGTCCTATTCTCTCCCCAGACTCTGGCGGCAAAATGAAGGAGAGAAGAACCATGAGAGCAATAAGGGAACACGGTACGACAAGGTTTACCATGTAGAAATAGTAACGCCTGCTTAAATGAAGTGACAGTATGATACTTGGGTACGGGTGAACACAGCAGCTGTATGTGTCCTGTTACAAAAAAAAAAAAACAGTAATAATAATAAAAACAAAGTGAAGTTGCAATGGGTTACGCGTTGAAAAACTTAAACCGAATTCGCGAGAAAATGAAAATTTCCATTAAGGGAACCAGTTATGTACGTGACTTGCCTCGATTCTAACAGCTGTCACTTTTGCCAAATCCCATTCTGTATTGTTTCTATAGATGTCTCCCTTGGCCCCAGTCTCCGACTCGTCAACAACAACATCCAGCTCGCTGCCATCAAATGCCCAAGACCCGAACTTAAGCGTGCAGATCTGAAAAGGAAGGAACACGTATCCTATTTTATATTACAAGGAATTCCATTTTATGAAAAGGCAAAATCGAACCGTCATCGTTGGAACTTTCTATCATCTAAAAAACGACTAATTGAAACAGATGTCTTTGTTCTTTGAAATAAGTTACATTAAAAAGTTTACTTCTTTATTAATTAATTTATAGCTTTATAATCGTTACCGTAAGCAGATCCTTATGCTAAAATCTACTTTCTTGCACATATGAACGTTTTATCGACAACGGTGTCTTTCCTATAGGGGAATCCTTCTTTACAATATTTGGCTCATTAGCATATGCAATTCAGTTTCTGATGGAGCTAAAAATAAATCAGTTCTGAATATCGAAAGTTCAAAGTACGATTAACTCGGCCAATGGATACGAGCCTGATGCATTGAATACTTTTTGTGCAACACGGGTTTAAAAACTCAAAATTTTACATAGAATGTATGAGCTCATTAGCGCTTTTGCAACGCAGAAATTTTGCAGTTTTTGATGGACTATTTCTCCTTGAATATTACACCCAAAGAGTTAAAAATTTCACCATGTACTGAGGTTTTCTAGCTCTTTAGCTGCCTGAGGTCAATTTGTATCTAACATGCTTCCTTCTTTACGCAAAGCCGTATGCATTTGAGCAAAAATGTAAACAATGACGTCAGCATGAATTCCCCTATTTACTTATTGAAGTCTAAATCGTTGGCCCAGTTCTCAGTTTTCAGACAATAGCGACCTCAAGATGTTATTTGACTTTCAGACCTACATAACGAATCTAACCTCCGCCATAAAGCTAAATCGAGACTTCCCAACTTTTATTAAAAAAGTTCCTTGTCACTTTTGATCACTTTGACTGCAGTTCATTTTACACTCGTTGTTGTCAAGCTTTTGAAGAGGTGTTCTGTCAAAGTTGACCCTGTTCCAAAATAAATCTTGCCGGTCTAAATTTGTTAATGTAAAGCTTACTCAGTCTCTCTTCTCTATCACATGCGACCTGAATTAAGCAGAGTGAAGCTGGAAGTGACAATTACCTCCAGTCTTAACTCCTCTTTAAAGACTTGGTGACAGAGCTTATAATTGTAAACAACGAGCCATAATTCTATAAACGTAACACACCACTTGACCAACCTGGTCGTCGAAAGGGAAGTATTTGGTATTGATGTCGCACGTGCTTTGAAAGATCGCTGGCGCCATCCACTTGCATGATCCATTGGAGTTTATTGCTATCTTGGTTTTGTACTTCTCTGTTCCTCCACCAAGTTTGTCGTTATCATCAGCACTGTCAGCGAACCGTACACTACGATAAGTTTAATTATGATAAATACAGTAATAGCGGGCCACGCCCTTGTGAAGTATGCTTGGAAGGGTTGATGTCCATGTACACTTAGATTACTCACAAACATCATTTCCCTTCTAATCAATTAAACAAATAGATTCCGTATTGCCGTGCGTCTGTTTAGTAATAGATCGGAGATGATATCAATGTGGTAAGAACAAAAAAAGTGGCACATGAGGCGCAGCCGTAGACAAGCATTGGGAAGTACCATGTTGTTCCCTATAGAGGTGAAACGCGCATGCTCGGCTGCAGAGCCATTTCTATCTGTTAATAAAAAGGGTTTTAAACTTAGAGAGGCAAAAAAGTAGATGGTGATGCATGAGAAACGGTGGCCTGCCACTAGTTAAGAGCAAATAATAAAGCTCTAAATACTTAGAATATTTCCCTAAATTACTTCTCATAGTTGATAAATATTTAATTGTTAGTCTTAGTTTAAAAAAAAATTAAATCGTTAACCTAATTGTTGATGCAAACTGCGCGTAAAAAAAAAACCGAATGTCCTGGTTGCGTTATGTGATGGTTATGTAAAAGAGATCCCTATGATGAGGGTTTGGAGGACTGGGATTAAGCTCTGCAAGGTAAATGTGCTGCGCTCCATGAATGAGTACTGGAAAACTATGAAGTAAATAAAAGAGTCACTAAGAGTCACGGGAATTGGTTAAAAGTACTGCCAGTTTTGAGCCGCTCTTCAGCCGGGTATTCAACCTTTTAACAACCCTAGCATCTGGTTTCTCTTTACAATATCAAACCTGAATCATATATCAATGCCACGAGAATATGGGAAATAATTACCGACTAACGACGCTCTTGACTGTCAATCAAATTCTCCTCTGCAACATCTTAGAAAATGCATAGAGCACAGTATGGAGAATATGCATACTGATCAGTGTAAGCGTGTTAAGGGTTAATGCCTTTAGTATTTAGTTCTTATTAACCTGACGGGAGGTCTGTATGGGAGAATCTTGACCGAGGTCGCCAATACTGACCGAACGCAGTGAGGTCTGTACCAGCGACCGAGGTCAAGATTCTCCCATACAGACCGACCTTGCTCAGTTAATAAGATGTATATTATAAGGCTGTGTCTTATATGCCAACTTTTTAAATTCTTTGTACCTTTTTTTCTAGACCGGTCTAGATGCCGGTCTAGATGGGAAAATCTAGACCGCTTTCAATATTGATTCCAACCAATCAAATTCGTGAACTCGGTAGTTCCCAATCCTTGTGAGACACAGCCATATGATAAGAGTATTTACACTCTCACCTGTTGTACAGAATGATGTCTGGTGCCCAGACCTTTTTGGGACTCACGTGAATTACTTTGGTCCCATTATAGTCTGCTTCATTCCAAGTCAAGTCAGAATTTAACCATTGCTGGATAAGAAAAGTGAGAGAGGCATGGGTTTAAATGAAAGTATTAATAACTATACAAACCGACTTAATTACTTCAAACCAGAGATTCGGAGACTCAATTCCCAAGAGTGTTAAATATTGTGAAAAGATAACATGAACAACAAGTTCCTTTTTCTAAACGATATTTTATAGAATTGCACACGTATAACCTGCCGGAAAAAAAATGAGTANTTTATTATATGGCTGTGTCTTGTATGCCAATTTTTTATATTCTTTCAGACCCTTCTAGATGCCGGTCTAGATGGGAAAATCTAGACCGCTTTCAATATTGAATTCAACCAATCAAATTCGTGAACTCGGTAGTTCCCAATCCTTGTGAGACACAGCCATATGATAAGAGTATTTACACTCTCACCTGTTGTACAGAATGATGTCTGGTGCCCAGACCTTTTTGGGACTCACGTGAATTACTTTGGTGCCATTATAGTCTGCTTCATTCCAAGTCAAGTCAGAATTTAACCATTGCTGGATAAGAAAAGTGAGAGAGGCATGGGTTTAAATGAAAGTATTAAATAACTATACAAACCGACTTAATTACTTCAAACCAGAGATTCGGAGACTCAATTCCCAAGAGTGTTAAATATTGTGAAAAGATAACATGAACAACAAGTTCCTTTTTCTAAACGATATTTTAAAGAATTGCACACGTATAACCTGCCGGAAAAAAAATGAGTAAAAAGTTGAAATTTTCAGTGTGATAACGTCTTACCTGGTAAATCCACCACTGAGAACGAATCGTATTTCCTCTTTCATTCTACGGTAAAAATATTTTATACACGAATAAGACCTAAGAAAGCTGGTTAATTTATGGTGCAATGTGTGTTATGTACATTACCATCTTCATAAATACTCGCCATTTGCCTACCCCAACGACCGAATAAACGTTACTATAGTTCTCATCGATATTACTGTTGATGGAGCAATTTTTTCAACTAATAGTCTAAACTATTTAAGATAGTCTGCGATTCCATTGTTTTGACCAACAGTTACCTCGCCACGCTTCTCGACCAATCAGGCAGAAAACGCGAACCAGTCGTCAAGTAGTCGGTCTCGTTTTCGCGCTTCAGGTAGTTTGCATGTTTTTACATTGACTTCTCTTTGGTTCTCATGGAGATCTAGTTTTATTGTTATTAATTGGAACATATGATCACCTCGCTTGTGGTTTAAATTAAAAACAACATCATTTTATCTTCGTCAAAATCAAGTCTTGGTTAGGATTTTTGCTCACCAACTGGATGATCCTGACGAGTTTCGCGCCAAACGACACGAGAACAGCGCGTGACCTGTCAGAGCTAGGGCGCCCGTCCCCATCATACCTTGCGAACAAATGTGCCAGCAAGCGTTGTTGAGACGTTTGCTCAGAGGCTGACAGGAAACACATAACATGAATAATTGAAAACAGTTAGCATTTCATATGAATATAATTATGTATGAATTAACTGAATGTGTCAGGATGGTAACCAAAAGAAGCGTATTTCAAAGGGTTACATCAACAAACGTTTCGAAACCAATTTAATCTAATGCCCTTAAGAAACTACAGAGAAAATGAACACATTCCGCTTTCTTCTTAGGCTGAAAAACAGTAGTAATTGGTCCCCTGAATGAAACTGAGGATATCATCCATTCCACTTCATGTCGATTTCGACAAATTAAGCGCTTTGCCACAAGCCATTCGCAATTACAATAGCAGGTGGATAGGAGCCGTAAAAAGGCTTCATTAAAATCGTAAATGTACTACACGCACATCCAAAAGCAAATGTTCCTTTTATCGATGTAAACACGTTTACTCAAAGATCCTGTTAACAGCGTTGTTTTATAGACAGGGCATAAAAATTATAAGCTAGCTTTCAGTTGACATCTATATCTATTAGCTATTGAGGCTCGAGAGAATAATTGCAAATTTTAAATTCGGAAAAAAGTTGTATTCAGCATTTTTTTTTCGATGGGAGAATACTTACAAACAGGAGTTCCGATGAGATAAACAAACTAACCTTTGCCTCGAAAACCACATATAGATCAAACAAATGTGTAGCGATTCAATTTTTTAGATAAACTGGATTGGAAAAAAACACTCAATACAAAATTGCGTCATGTTGTTTTCAAATTACAATCAAGCGCTTTCAGGTCATATAGCGTTCAGACGGACCTGAACTACTGGTCGTGGGCAGATGAAAAGCTGTTTTACCCGACAATGCACGTTAACTAGACATTATGTATAAAGAGAACTGTTATACCTGTTGACACAAGAAATAAGCTCCAGAACAAGCACAAAATGGTCCCATAAACCAGCAATACTTTCATTATTGATTGCGAGTCACTTTTAAGTTTGCCTCACTCAGATGCTTCGAATTCTCCTCCTTCTTTCAAAGTCGTAGCAGTATGATGACTCTCTATTCATGACGTTTGTCCACCATGAGTGGAGTGGATTCTTTCTTCAGCTTACATCACAACATCGCAACAAATTGGTTGATCAAAATGTATGTTTAACCGTCACAGCTGAAATATAATAAAAATTGACGCGTAATGTCAAAGCCTCTGTCAAAAAATTGAATTCTGAGGAAAAATTCTGGCCGATATAGAATTATCATCGGATATTTGTCGAAACTGTGGATGGTGATTGTTTCATTTATTCCAAAACGATGCCTTGCTTGATGAATGAATCCGTTTTTATAGGTGGGCTCGCGTTTATTGATCACTTTTCTGGAAAATGAGCCTACCTGACCACAAGGGGCGCAGCTTAATTTGTTGACTGCACTGCATGCAATTATATACCTCGATGTAAAACCTCCATAGTGTAAAATAGTCTTTTACTTTCAAAACTTTGGCGCGCGGCCGAGCGGGTTATTACTGCCCGTCGAATTAAAGTCCTCCATAAGAGGGGCGGGACTGTAGTCTGAAATTGTTGCTGTTTGCTGTTCGAAAAACCTTGTTTGCTATCATCAAATATTTATGACGCGTATTCAAAGCTGCAAAGGGAATTTTCTGGAAAAGGTGTTTGCTAACAATGCTTGCTAACTTAGACAAGCTACTGATGTTGTGAATAATTCAGAACCTAACCTATCAGACTTTGAAATTAACTAAAAGAGATGGGGAAGAATCGCTTAGTAATAAGGCTGAGCAGTGCTTTAAAATGAAATTGTCTGTGGCAAAAGCAAATTGTGGTTGACTTACCCTCTATGTACACGTCCTTACTTCTTTATAACAGATAAGCCATAACAGATAAATTGTTGAAATTCATGACAGCCGGGTATTTATATTCAGAAATGGCGAGAATATCTATATTCTTAGTTTTTAAATTTCTATGCGAAGAAATCGTCTCCTAGACAATGCACTTTACTTTCGCTGTTGGACTTAATTACTTCTTTAAGAAACTGACTGATGGATTATATGTTTGTGAGGAAGTTCTGTCGCTAGATTGAAATTATTTATATGTATTTTGTGGCTGTATTAACGAATGAAATCTAACACTGTTTTAACCTTTGACGAATTCCGACTCGGAATTTAATTGAAATTACCTCTCATGATTGCTTGATGAAATCTTGACAGAAAAAGTTGTCATTCATTTTTTCCCGTCTAAAAGCTTTTTCTCTATCATTGGTAACATTCAATGACTTGGCAGCCCCCATTGTACCGACTTTGATGTATTTCTCGTATTTTTTTCAGTCTTCTGATCTTGTGGTTTATCAAATGTGATTAATATTATACGTTTTAAATCTCAAAAACGTGACTCTGCCTATACCAAATCTTATATTACGTTATGAATAACTGTAAACTCATCTTGAAAAATAAACCTAACTACTACAACGAAGTTCTATATGAGAAGGAAAAAATTAACCTCTTAGTCTACAATACAGTGATATTTGCTTTAGGAATATAAACGAACTATTCCATTGACTGAGAAGATGATAAATTTTGCACCTTGTGTTACGTTTGCTCGTGCAGTTGACATGATGGAAATTTAATTACCAATAAATATTATTCATTACTATTTGGCAGAATGACCTAACCTCTATGTGAAATCAAACTCTTATTGATTCTGAACCCGAGTGCTTTTTCCGCTAAACAAACTCAAATACAATCTGATTCCATGGCACCGACCATTCCGGCATCACCGAGAATTTCGAATTAAAATTTTTGGTCTTGGCATTTTCACGAGTATAAAAAGACGATGGAAGTCATTCAAATTCGTTATGCATTTTTTGCCACAAATCATCCCTTCTTCCTTTGAAAAATGACATATTGCGTGGGAAAACAATTCTTCGGTTTTAGACAAAGTTATTAAAGTGCTTTCTCTTTATCATATCGAGACAGATATACATAAAATGGCAATGACGATACATGTCAGTTTATTTCCGGTATATAAGACTCATAGCTGAAGAAAATCAATTTTCAACGAAAATCAAACCAAAAGTCTCGACTATATATTGTATCTAGAAACCTGGATTCCCGATAAATCGAAACAAATTGACCGTTAAAAAGAATTCCAAAGGTATTTTCCCGTAAATATCCTTATTTGTGAATTACCTCAGTCTCTTATGAACCTTGTTTGCGCAATTTGAATGGAAAAATAAGGCCAGACATTTTATGGTGATTCTGTTTTGAGTATGGTTCTCTCTCGCAGGCAAAAATATGACTCTTTTATTTATTGTTAGGCAGAGCCTCACTGACCTCTAAGCACTTGGATACTCACCTCTTGATAGAACTAACTTTGCGTTTTCTTGAAAATTGAGGTTTTATGAAGGGGAATTTCTTGCAATCTAACAGTACATCAGTGTTAACGCTGAGTACGACAAATTCAAAATGCGCTTAATCAAAACTCACGATGTTTATTTATACATCAGCCAAATTCAAGTAATATTAGTTTCACTCTCTAGTCACAACTTCTTGTAAAACTGCACTACTTATGAATACTGAATTTTTCTCTTTGTATTCAAATGGCAGTCGGAAAAGCCATCAACCAAGTGGGAGTCACTCTGTCTCTTCCCCAATCAGCTCCGATTTCACTTTCTTTCTCTAAACTCGTAATTGACAGTAAGGCAATAAAATTTAATATTTCGTTCCAAGCAGTAATCTTAGTAACCACTAAGACGTTGAAATGGGACCAGAAATGACTTTGCTTAAAAATTTGCCGATGAAGTTAAAACTGAAAAGGAAACTCTATATATTTTTCAAACGATTGCAGGTGAAGTTATTTGCTGTAATTATAAAAAGTAACTGACTGAAGATATTCACTTCTGTTTAAATTCATTTTCGTGTTTATTTTTGGATCCTCTACATGCACATCTACCAAGAGGGTTCATCTTTCAAGATTTTATATATTTAACAGAAATTATTTCATGTTACTCACCTCAGACGGTCTGAATGTCTCCAAGTTCTTTAAGTCACCAACCATAACACTTCCCTGTTTTATCCGTTATGTGATTAAAAAAAAAGCGCACTGTGGTGAACAATTTTCGATCATTCGTTCTTCTAAATGTATTCGTCATGTACTGCACTCTTAGACACAATAAAGATTCGCCTGTCGTTAAGTGTTTACCATAATATGCCCCGGAGTCTCAGAGTGTTAAAGAATCTGTTAGAACAACAAGAACATAGCCATATTTCGTTCAATTAGGACCTCTTTTACTTCTTGTACTAACATCTCCTTTCTGTAGAACACATTACAATTGTTTATCTTAAAATTTAATCTTTTCTCTTTTTGAGTTTAGCCCATCAACCGCCTTATCATAAATAGGTTTTCCTCTCTGTGAGGAAATGCATTGCCTTTTTTAATCTTCATTTAATCTTTCCTCATTTTTTAGCTTAGCCCATCAACCCCTTAGTCATATCAATAGGAGGTTTTACTGACGATCCCTAATGTGTCAACCTAAGTAATATAACAAAAAAAGGAAGTTTTGGATAGCGATTTTGCCGATCAGTATAGTGTGTTATTTCAAGTCATCAAAACAAGGCAACATATCGCATACAACACGCAAAATTCAGATCTAAATTCGAATCATGATCTACGGAAACTTTCAGGATGAAACCCTTTACGACGGAGCAAAGATCAAAACATTTACAAAGGAAAGAGTCTTCTACCATTTCATAAGGGAAAAAGTATGTGGGGGAAGGTTTATGAAAAATAATTCAGAATTAAACTTGATATTCAAGAAACTAATTCCTTGCCAATGCTTGATGATTGGAGTACGTGATCCTAGTTTTAAACTGGATTAAAAGGAAGTAAATGTGGTCCCTAAGATTTTTGTATGCAAATCGTGATTTATCTGATCCATTAACCGATAGAATGCTGGACACAAGTATTGAATAAGTGTGCTTGCAGACACGCGCGCAGAGGAAATCAAACAACCACACACACTAAAGTCAAACATATAAACAAATATACAAAAAAGTAATGTAATGCGAGAAACAGAAAAACGAATCGATTTTGTATCATCGTTTCTAAGGTTCGAACATCAATTACTTAACAAAGTCACTTTTTGCCACGAAATCCTATTTTGCACTTATCCCGTATGACCATGTGATGAAAAGATGTCGCAACAAAACTTTGAGATCTTAGCACTTCGTCACGTTGCAGATTTGCTTTTGGCAGTATATACACGACTTTAAATCAACAGGAAATGCCAAAAAGTATTATTAATTGTCCCACTACGTCATCCCTTCCGGTGAGGATCGCTACAGTTCGACAGCACTGCGAGTATTCCCCGAGTGATGACGGCCGCTATTGATACGCGGTACGTTATGACGGTGCAAATTTTTCGCTCGCCTGCTGCATTTTTTTTTTCATGTTATTTTCAAAAATAGTTTAGTATTTCCACACAATTATACTAGTCTGACTTTCTCTATAATTAACGCAAGCAATTATCCTTAATAGAAGATTTCTTTTGCTTCAAAGCCAGAAAGCCATATATATATATATATATATACTGCAGACAGTGCACACTGTTTCGACCTATGTGGGTCTCATCAGTGCAGTGCAGACACTGGGCCAAGCTCTGGAATAAACCATTGCCTGGGCGCTACACTTGTGGGACCAAGTGCAGGCATGTTGCCATGCGAGAGTGCTCAAATCACAACTAAGGTGATGAGCTTCGCCCATCTATAAATATATATATATATCTATAGTAGCAAATGGACTACTCAAGTTACGCACATATGGATTTTAATACAGCCTTTTTCGTAGACCAACAAAAGTTGATCCACTCATCAGTTAAACTCCATACACACACCGTGTATTAAAATCCATATGTGCGTAACTTGAGTAGTCCATTTGCTACTATAGATATATATATATATTTATAGATGG